AAATTCAACATACAATGTTATTCCTGCAGAATAATTTAACCATCACTTTCTTTGCCGACTTTTCCATGCCAGCCTTACACCTTTTTTTTACTTTACATGCTTCATTTCAGCAAAATCAAGGATGCAAACTTCTTAGAAGTACTTAGTTTCCATGGAAACCTAAGCTGACCGCAACATTATTGTTCTCAAGAGGGAACTGACTTTACTATATGTTCATTCACTGAATTAATGGACTCCTGGTTCTTTTATTAGCAGCTCTCTAACAATAGAAAGAGAGAAATGTTATAAAAAAGACTCTCAGACAACTGTCCACTCTTTTGTCCAGGGCTTATTGGAATGACGCAAGTCTATTCAGGAAAAGATTATAAAAATCAACTCAAAGCTGCCTCTGTTTGTAGCCGCTAAATATACCTTTATTTCATAAAGATACAACCTATAAAACAAGCAAATTAAAGCTCTTTCTGAAATAGTAACTGTGAAGCAGCAGCCCTGAAGAAACAACAGGGCTTTAGCTCCCAAATCTGGGGTTGTTCCCCCATCCCACAGGATTCTGGAGCATCTTTAACCCCCAATTTTATGTCAGTTCTCAGCCAGGATGAGGATTGTGCACAAACCGGGGTGAGGTGATTCTTCAATACACAGAAAAGTGAAGAAAACTCACCGAAATCTTAAATCTCCACTGAGAGTTTTAGAACACCTTCCACGAGCTGGGGATAACGCACCCCTGCTAAGTGCAGAAATGCAAGTGCAATTTGTGCTGCAAGGGCAGCACCTTGGAGCAGGCTGGGTTCAAATCTGCAGTTTGCTCTCTCAGGGTGCACAGTGTGCTGCCAGCCCCTGCTCAGGCCTGGGGGGGTTTGCCCTGCCCAATAATTGCTGCACAAAAGACAGTGAACAGTTCCCTTGCTCGTCCCTAACTACCTTCCTGACTGCTTATTGAGGTCTGATTTCTTACTCCTCTGGGTCATCATTCATCAGCCCCGCAGATCCCGCCGGGAGAGCCCGGCCAGACCTCTCCACATCCCTCCTTGCCAGAGGCCATTCCTGATATAGAAAATGTCTTCACAGTGACCCGGCGGGACGGGCCGCGGCCATAATACCCAAATAATCATTTTGCAAATTATCATAATTATCAATCAATCATCCCTGTGCGAACAATGTGCTCCTGAAGTATCAGATGGTTCCTGTGACCTGTAGCATTTTGGATATAATAATAAACCCGGGGAGATTTATGGCCCCATCCCGCTTCGCATCTGCAGCAGCAAAACACTCGTTGGGGTTTTGCTTTTGCTTTAGAGCTGAAAGCTTTCCTCGTACCTGGGTTTCTTGTTCTTGATGGTTTTTTTAAAAGGCCAAAATTTCCAATCACACCCAGTTTTCTGAGATTCACTTTATTTCTTAAAATAAATCTGTGTGATTTGTGAGCACAGAATAATTGTGCTGCTTAAATTGCTTTTACTTCACAACCTCATCAGCATTATATTTACAGCTTCTAATATTTGGCAATGTAGGAATGAGACCAGCCAGAGGAGGGGGGAAAATTGGTTTTGTCTTCAGTTTTTGTTGTGTTTTGCACAATACCAGATTGAATCCAACCCTTTTGAAGCCGATAGCATCTCCCGCTCCCTGTGCAGCACATTCTTGTTAATGGATAAATTCAACCTCTCCAGAAAGTCAAAGAATAAATTTAAAGCCTTTTGCCAAATGCCTATCCTATTGGATTTTGATAAGACGGCTATTGAGCTTTAATAATGTCTTCTATCCTTTTTCAGCTGGCCCTTAACATGTCTCTTTATTTGTCCCTAAAGCCTCTTCAGCGATGCCTTTTTATTACAAGTCTCTCAGCTTGCTCTCAGGGGAGACAGGGTCGACAAGAGTGATAGATAGATAACTCTATAGATTATCTCCCACAGATGTTTTCTCTCCAGTAGCCCCTCAGGCTATTCCCTCTAAGTAAACAGAAACTAAATAGAGAGTCTACTGAAGAGAGAAGTCCCTGAGGTCCCTTGTCACCACGGTCAGAAAAACAGCCCAGCCCGGGGAGGTTGGCTGGGAGCTCTGCACACACAGAGAATCCTTCCCCAGCATTCTGGAACCCTCATCCAAAGTGACCCTTGGAGGGGAGAGAAATGCATCTGCCTGGGATAAAGAAAGGTGGTGTGTAATGGGTACAGGCCTTGCTTCCTGCTGGAGGAAGTAGAAATCGTTCAGCTCAAAGTTAAAGCAAAATGACGACGGGGACAGCTACAATGACAACAAGATGTTTGTTCAATTTATTAAATGCAGTGGAGAAACTTGGAAAATTCAGAGGGAGAGGACACTGAGTTGCTCTCTAAGGAAAATAAACAGAGTGCAGGGACATGGGCTGGGAAAAAGACATTTGGGAGCAGGGGACAATAAACCCACAGATATTACTTGTATTTTTATCTCTGTCCGCATTCAGCTCACAAAAATAACTAGAATAAGCAACTTTCCTGTTTTAATATTGCTTCCATCACTGATGATTTAAAATTAAACAAACAGGATGAGGAGCTTGTGTGTATTTGTTAAACTAAATATCAGCAAGCAAAGGTGATACAAGGAAAGCTTGATAGGTATACACCGCATTTCAATCCATGGAGCAGCATAGATAAAGAAAATGATCCTGGATATGGGTCCTTTAATGGCATTGAATTATTCCTGTCAGACAACCCCTAACAAAGAAATCAGCCTTGTGGTGTTAGCAGCACAGCAGTCCCAGCAGAAATAACAGTAACACGAACCTAAAAATACTGGATACGGTGGGAAATACTTAATCTTTGTGCTCCAAGCCAAAAAAGAGCCTGTTTTATTCTACTACAAAACAGGCTCTGCTGTGCTGCAACTTCAGACTTTTCCCTGGCTTTCAGTTCATTTAAGTTATGTAAAAGAGTGTATTTTTCCTGGGAGCTTAAGAGCAGAGAGAGTTCTGAGATCAGTTTTAAGCAGAGGTTGCTTCCTGTACATCTCCCTATACCTCTCGCTGCCATCACCTTCCCTTCCATGCTTTTTCCTGGTTTTATAGATTTTTTTTCTCTGCATTCCAGATTTTTTTTTTCTCTTTCTAGTCCTTGTTAGTGTCCAATTCTGAACCTGGGATGCAGCAGTCAAAGGAGCCACTGAAATTATGGTCTCTCCAGCTCCGATTTCCTCCCCTCCCAGTTTAAATCAGGCCACCCACTCCAGTTACATTTGTCTTCAGTCATCTTCTCACCACCAACTCATCTCTGAAGGAATAGGAATAAATTGAAGTAAAATCTCAACTATTGTGTCTTCAGGGATATGACAACTGAATGATTTAGAGAGGCTGGAAAAGGAAATCTGCTCCCAAGAGGGTTTTGTGCCACTGGAGCCAAATGCCAGAGTGCTACTTCCAAACAATTGAGAGATCCTACAAAAATTGTCCGGAGTGATTTCTTATTCTTTAGTTTTCATTTTCTTCTGACTGAAAAGCTGTCTCGCAGTAGTCTTTTCACAAGCCATAAAGTTTAGACTTGAACTCTTTACCTTACTGCTCTGACCTCCTTTACCCCAGCTGTAAAACCCTACTGCCCATCCTTCAATAAATTTATCACCTCATAAACTCCCACTACTGCTTCTCTACAATGCATTTAAAAGACACAAGTGGAAGGCCAGGCCTTCCCCCCTTGTCAAATATCACAATTGTCCAGTTTTATACCTGCTGCACAGGGAAATATTTAAGGACATGGAATTTTTCAAAGACCTGCAGTGTTTGTAACAATCTCCCTTGAAATAAAAGCACAAGGTTTAAATATAAACCCATGGATTGAACATATAAAACTGCCAGTCTCATGTTTCCTTGTTTCACACAACTCCTGCTCTCTTTGGGGTAATGCAGGTCCTGGAGGTGTGGATGGAGAGTTCATTCATGATATCGTAATTAAAGACTGAATAAGGAATAGCTGAGCCATGGAGAATTTCCTCCATCCTTGTGGGAAGTGAGTGGGGATAATGAGAACCTGCCACCTTGTCACCATGTCTGTCCAGACAAAAGGATCCCACAGAGGCAGGGACAGGCACCCCATGAGTTATGGGGGTGCCCAAGGTAAAAAGTTCAGCCCTGTTGCCACAGGTTCCTGGCAAGGTCACAGCATGCTCAGAGGATGCTTCCTCTTGGAAGCCTTGGAAATAAAACCTGATTTTTTATTTTTTAACATGGTAAGAATACAACAGGCCATACTGGACATGTGTCTAAATCCCTTTTCCCAGCATGACTCTGGAGCCTGGCAAGGATTTCATTTCACTCTGTTTGGCAGAGGAAAGCAAGTGATTCCTTTTAGTTTCAAGAGTGGAGAAGCAGCATCCTTCATCCTGAAGGATGAGCAGCACTGGCAGCTGCAGCAAGGTCCAGCCTCTGAGATTTCCCACTCTCAAATACTTCATGTGAACATCCTTCATAAGACAATTGCACATGACTCCTCAGTCACAACCAGCTCCTTATTTCAGTGAGGACACACAAGCTACAGCTGCTGAGAGGATCTAATCAAACCTGACTTGAAACACTTTAATCAGCAAAGCTGTTAACCAACAGATCCACATGGAACAAAAGCTCATTTTAGAGCTTCTGACAGTAACCCCAACCCAAACAGCAGCCTGGCTACCAAATACATCACGCTGAGGCTGCCTTCCAGCTCCAGTGGAGACATTTGTGCAGCTGGGCTGAGTGTGGAACACATTTTCTCTGGTCACTCCTACAGTTTGAGCCCCACAATGTGATGAACAGCACCACTAATACATCACATGGGCTGAATTTTATCCTTTCACAGACCTATTCTTTTTCTCTTGCATTTCACATAAGCCACATTTACATGCTGAAATGACCTCCAAAAATTTAGCACTTTAAGCAAAGGACCAACATTTTCTTTTACGGGAAAAGAGGTAAATGAGGTTTCTCACTTTGGCCCAGCAGCTGTTTGTGTTGTAGCTGAATCAAGGAATACCTCAAACTATTATTTTCTCTTTCATAATGACTGAAATCACAAAAAGACAGAAAAATAGGCCAACAGAACCACAACACTTAATCCAAAAAAGCAACAGCAAACACTGGAAAACTTCTACAACGTTATTGCCATCAACACCTTAGTTCAAAAGTGAGGGAAAAGTGTCTGGGTGTATTTCCAAGCCAGGAAATAAAGCAATTCCCAGAAGACTGAGCCATGTCCTACCTTTTTTATATTGCCCTCCTGGGAGGTCACCTCAGGATCAGTCAGTATTTGCTAAGGAAAAAACAGAATAGAAACAAAATTTGAGTGGCAGCTAAGAATGTTATAAAATAATAGAGATTAATATTGCTGTTGTTTTGATGATGATGATGAGAATGAATAAATATTATATTATTGATAATAATGGCCAAAACTCTCAACTGCACCCAGATGCTTTGGAAGTTCAATGGACGGTTTTCACCACAACTGTTATTTATATTTTTAGGTTTTTGTCACTTCTGTGAATAAGTCCCTTAGGTTTGGCAGGCAAGCACAGGTTTCTCTCCCACAATGCAGGTGTGGACAACACGGGCACCAAGGGAACAGGCACCCACGGGCTTTCCAGAATTGTGTCCCTCTGGAGCAGGGACAGATCCCGGGATGCTCCGGCCCCCCAGCGCTCCCGGCAGCTGCCCTGGGAGTTCTTTAATTCCCCCTCCAGCCGAGGTGTGGTGGAACAAGTCATTAAATCGCTGCTGTGCTCCACCTCAGATTAGCTCCAGGTCAGCGGGCATTCGGGGAGGTCAAGTACCTCAACTTTGCATCACCCTGGATACCCCAGCAGGGTAAACACACCAGGAACGGACCTGATCGAGCAGCCCTGGCCAGGAATTCCAGCAGCTCCCGTCGCTCTGGGGGGATCTGGGGTGGCTGAGGGCAAACAGACACCCAAGGGCAGCGTGGGACAGGGTGCTTGGGGCTCCCAGACACAGGGGAGGTGATTTGGATGCCAAAGAGCAGGAAAAACCTCCAAGGAATGGAGATGAACATGCAAGAAAATGCAGGTTAAAATGGGGAAGGGGAAAGGGAAAGGGAAAGGGAAAGGGAAAGGGAAAGGGAAAGGGAAAGGGAAAGGGAAAGGGAAGATCCATGGCATTTTAGCAGCTGAGGGTTTGGCACAAAATTCTGGGCCCCTTTGGCCATGCCCAGGTAAGATCGACTGATTTACAAATTTCCAACCCATTGCCAAATCCCCAGCACAGCTGCACTAACAAGGGGCTGTGTTTCCATGGGAAGAACCCCAAACCATTCCGTGCTTTACACCAGCTCTAATGGACGTTGAAACTGCGGTTTCCAAAACAGCTGAGAGCAAATAGGATCAAGAGGCAAATCCCAGAGCAATAAAATTCTATGTTCCTACCGTGGAACACCCTGACATCCCCATGAATGACTGGAGTTAAACATCCATCCTGCCTGTTCTGGATGTCACCAAGCTTCCAGGGATGCTGACTGCTCCCAGTGCACTCACCAGGAACCAGCAACCCCCAAAAGCTTGGGAGAATTAGGCCATGAAACTTTCACAGCTGAAACAGAAACACAAAACAACTCCAAAATATCCAAGGGATGCAGCTGCCTCCAAATGAAGCTACTTCCCTGTAATTATTACATGCAAAAAGCCTTTGGATACAATCGGAGAAGTGCCATTAGAGTGTGTAATCCACCCATCCAGCAGCACCATAAACGTGGAGGGGAAAAAAAACTCCAATGAAGTGCAAATTGGGCTGTGGTGGAGCCCTGTATAAACAGGCTTAAGAGTCAGGAATTCCTGAGTCGGAATCGAGATGCCAACACAAGCTTCCTTTTGTTGGTTTGGACAGAGCTTTGCTCAAGGGGCAAGTTCCTTCTCTCAACCCCTTTTTTTCCCTTTTCAATTCATAGCAGATCCTGAATTTCAAAGTTCTTAGGGAACAGAATTTCTGTGAAGATATTTCATCCATATTCAAAAGTGGCCATTTTGCAGAAAATCCTCTGTAGGATCTTGCTGCTTGTTTGGAGTATTTGAAAATGGCTGAGTTTTGATATTTGGTGAAATCCTTGTTCAGTTCCCACCTATAAAAAAACCACCAATAACATGAAGAATTCTAATTTTGATGGAACCATCTCTGCACTCAAACTACCAGAACATGGACAATTAGTGGTGCTGAACTGACTTGATGATTTTAAAGGTCTTTTGCAATTTTAACAGTTCTGTGATTCTCTGGGTGACAAGGTGTTTTAGGAGTAGTGGGAGAGCAAGAACTGGTTTAGATTAAATATTTCATGCTTTCTTTACTCCCGATTTTGAAAAAAAGATGTTCAAGGTGTTATTGTGGGTCAAGCTCTACCACAGAGCATCTGCATTGGCTTGGACACGTCCCACAGCCCAGTGTCCTGAATGTCCCATTTTCCCACTGCAGCTGAGCAGCTTGGCAGCTTGGGATAGTGTTGGCACTGGTGGCGTGTCTGTGGAGGAGCAGAGGCCAGAATTCCAAACCTCCCCTTGCCCAGCCACTGCTAGGGCTCCAAATGAGCCTTCAGAAACCTTCCTGGGAGCTGGAGAGAACATCACAATTGTCCTGCTGCATTCCCAGTGTGGAACAAACACCGTCTGACAGCACCTGTGTCAGCAGACAGCAATCCAACAGCCACACCAGGTGCCCTGGAGCAGAGCCCATCCCGGGATTCCACGGTACATGGGATGGGGGTGATGCAACACCGGCATGTCCATGGCTCCTCCTGCTTAGAGGGGAGAGGCAGAACCAGGCTAAGCAAGCCACAGATGTGATGTTTATTAAGAAGAACAACAGAAGATACTTTGAAAATCTGCTCATTGGGTAATTTTAGCTCCGGCTGGGCTTCATCTCATGCGAATGCCACGAGACTAAATATAGAGCTCGACGTGTGCAGTGGGCTGCACTCCTGCACTTAGCACAGATGTTCTTAAATGTGCTCAAAATTTACACCACATGCTTTTTCTATCAACTGATCTGTTGATTTTAGCCAGGGGAAAGACAACATGTCAGCAGCAGCCACGTCAGGAGAGCCTGTGCCTTGGGCTGGAGGTGGATTTGCCCAGCTGGAGAGGATTTCACTGCCTTTCCTTCCCTGGGCTCAGGGAATTGGTGGCACCAGGATCCTGCCTCAGTTACAGCAGTTAGGGATGTGCTAGAATTTTTGCAGAGCCCCCTGAATGTATACTAAACATGTCAAGGAACACCATGTGATTCTTTTTGAAAAACAGTTTACAAGCTGGCATTCTCCAGCTGCAGTTAACCCTAATTTGATTACATTAGTGAGACAGATCACAATGAGCTTATGTAAATAGTAACGTTATCCATTCATTCCCCCAGCTCAGATAACTGTCATTTAGGGGGGGAAAAATTCCCAACCCAAACTTCAATAGGCATGGCCTGATGCATTCAGCAAGACATGGTGCATTCAGCAAACTCTGAAGGTGAAGATGACAGACTGGAACCTGCCCCTGCTGGATTGCTGTGAATCTGGTTTTTAAAGAGATATTTCCACATCTGCTCCAAGCTGGAAGGAGAAGAGAATGCCCAGTAATTGCACAGAAGTCAGGAGGCAGATAACAGCACTGCTTTCAATAACTTGGTCTTTATTATCATCTGATTTTTCATCAAGAGCTCAGTACACCACTGATGACATCAGTGATGCTCTCAGCTAAGCGAGCACTTCAGGGGTTCACCCACTGCCTGGGCACCTGCCTTTGACATTGGCCCTTCCCAAACCCTCCTGCCTGGGTCAAGGCACTGGGGACATCACTTCCAGTTCTGCAGCCTGGGCTGTGGCACCTGCACCATCTCAAATCTGCCTTACCGTTCAACTGGTTCAAAAAAAGAATAGAAAACACTTCTTTTGCCTTAAATTAGCCAAGGGCCTGCGATTTTTACTTGCTCACAAGTTCACATGAATACTTCAGATGAAAGCAGAGGCTCTGGCCCTGCTGTGCCCAATTTATGCTGTTCATAGATGGGTTAATGGCAGAGTTACTCTGCTTGGCTGTGATGGCACTGTTGTCTACATGGACACAGGAGCAGCACGACCTGCAGAGCAAACAGCTCCTTCCAGCCAGTCTCTTGTGACTTTAAAAAATGTCTCAGGTCAGAAGATCACAGAATACCCTGGGCTGGAGGACCCACAAGGGTCATCCAATCCCAGCCTGTGGCCCTGCACAGGACACATGCTGTGCATGGAGCTCTGACACTCACACACATCCAAGCAACTGAGCAACATCCAGAGCAGCACAGCACCCCTCTAACCTGGCAAAGGTCATTCCAGCACCAAGCAGTACCCAGCACCTCCAGGACGTGGTTTCTGAGCAGGTTAAACCATTTGGACAGCACTGGAAACACCTCTCCTGTCCAGCACCTCGAGTGCTCACACAATTCATCTCTTCCCTGCAGCTCTGTTCCACCCCAGATTAGGAGACAATGCTGTTATTAAGCTACAAATCTTGCTCTTCATAATTTCCATTAATTATTCCCTTAGAAGTTTTATCCTGCCAACTCCTGAGTGGGCTGGCCCTGGCCCAGTCGCATATTTAGGCAAGAAGTATCAGTGAATTGAGAAGAACCAGGAATGTCTCCACACGTAAGTGCTTTTCTGGCCATAGGCCAGGAGCACAAAACACCCTGTGGGACCCAGACACAAAGCACCAAAACCCATGGTGGGTATTCCATAGGGAAGAGATTCTTTATCATTCTATATCCACTATCATATGATCCCAGACTGGTTTGGGTTGGAAGGGGCCTCAAAGGTAATTTTGTTCTACCCCCTGCCACTGTCAGGGACATTTTCAACTATCCCAGGTTGTTCCAAGCCCCATCCAGCCTCATCTTGGACACTTCCAGGGCAGCCAGAGCTTTTCTGGGCACCCTGTGCCAGGGTGTCCCCATCCTCACAGGGAGGAATTCCTTCCCAATATCCCACCTAAACTTTTCCTCTTGCAGTTTGAAGCCATTCCCCCTTGTCCCGTCCCTCCAGGCCCTGGTAAACAGCCTCTCTTCATCTTTCCTGTGGGATCCCTTCAGGTACTCCCAGACCCCAATTAGGTCACCCCAAAGCTTCTCTTCTTCAAGATCTTCATATATATTTATATATATATATATCTATTCAAACACAGCAGCCCACACAGGCACACCACAGTGGATGTGCATCCATAGGAAAACCAGACGTGGAGGAAACCCACAGAAAAGCATTTCAGCACTAAAACATTTAGTCTTTCAGCCCTACTG